GGTGTCTGTCACACATCAATCTGTTCCTGAGACGTTCTCGAGGGGCATGTGGGATAGACTGAAGGTGGTATTTGGGTGCTTGTGGGCTTGTCATTTCCTTCAGCTTCAACCTGAACGCACACACTGGCAGCCCGGGTCTGTTCCGCCGTCAGCCCCCGGCCTGGTTTTAGCTGCTGGTACCGCGTGCTTCCCTACCACCTCTTCCCACAGCCGCACCGATTCCATTCGTCTGTCCAGTGAGCCCCAGGGGTACAGCCGCTGTTTATGCTGTTGGACAGTGCACTTGCAATAAAGAAGTGCTTGCTGTTGTCAGGTGCCAGTTCCGACCCACAGCAACCGATGCACACAAGGAAACACCGCCCGCTCCTGTGCCAGCCTCACCCTGGTTGCCGTCTGAGTCCCTCAGAGCAGCCTTCCACCTCAATAAGGGCCTTCCTCCTTAGCGCTGCCCCTCTAATCCCTCAAGGACGACGTCCTTCTCCAGGGACGGGTCCCTCCTGACACGTACGTATGCTACCTGCCATCTCCAGATGCGTGTTTGTCACAAGGTCCCATTTTCCAACACCCGTTCCTCCTTCGTGCTAACAGTTTCTGCATTCCGATCACTAATAATCATCAGCGCATCTTGACCGCATGGCCGATCAGTTTCAGACTAAGGAAGTTGGTAGAATCCATCACTAACTTTTGTGACTTGGGTGTGAATGTGAACAGTTATATTAACCGCGCGACAGACGGTGCTGCACTGCTCCTTTTGCTAATGAGCATGCTGTCAGTCCCTTGGGTTCGTGCCCCCAGCATAATAAACCATGCGACTGTCCAAGCTAAAACAGCCCATAGCAACTCATTCCAGCGCGGTGCCCACGGTCAATCGTTCCGTACTGCTTCATTTCCAACGTCCCTAGACTTATCCTACTACACCCTGGTTTGGAAGGGATGCCTGCCACCTTTCCTTCTCCTGAGCGGTGCCACACACACATGCCAACATGCCCTTTCATCCACTTAAGAGACTATCAAACGATCAACCACGAATAATAGAAGAGGGTGCTCCTTGGGGGCAAGGAAGGGGAGACATTGGACCTGCTGTCAGGAGAGACCAGTCAGTCCCTGGAGGAGGGCATCATGCTTGGCAGAGGGGCAGTGAAAGGGGTAAGGCCCTCAAGGAGATGGACGGACACTGGCTGCAACACTGGGCAGTGGCGAGGACAGGGCGCGTTTCCTTCTGTCGCACAGAACGGACTCAACAATCACATCCTCTGCAATGGAACAACTTCCCGGCAAGACCAGGGAGCTCTCCAACCTTAAATGCTTGTCTCGGAGCTTAGAGTCTGAGCCCAGGCCAGTCTGTGGACTACGCGGCTGACCGTGGGCACCCCAAGGACACTTCCTGTCTCCCCCAGATTCTGCCTCCTCTCAGTC